AGAATAAATAGCTAGCCACTTCTTGCTAGCTATATTTAGCTAGTGGAAAGTGCTTTAGCCAAAATAGCTAACCATTTAGCTAATGGTTGGAAGGAAGAAAAGCTAAAAAAAAGTTAAATCATTAGCTGATTTAGCTAAAAACATGAAATGGCTAACATGGTTGGAGTTGCTCCAAGTATTCTGCACACAAAAATTAAGAAAGATATATGTATAGTTCAGGCCCAACAAACCATAGTTCAGAATCTTAAGATGGATCTAAGCAAGAAAACAGCATCAAGGCAACCGGCATAATGCATTTCCAACAAATGGGGATATCTGAGCAAGAAAACAGTATCAAAGCGACCAGCATAATGTGTTTCCAACAAATGGTAAAAGGCCAAAATTAAGAACACTTACATGCGAAAATATTCCTTTAATGCATGGTCATCTAAAATAAGCTTCTCACCACTATCCCGTCCTTCTTTTTCCAGCAAATCTTCTAGTTTTGCATTTAAATCATTTATGCCCTTCTTGAGCTCCTTTATATCAGCCGCATGTTTCCTCCTTTCTTCCCTTTTCTTATCAAGCTCCTTCTTGTTTTTCTTTATTTTGGAGTTTATGCGAGACGTTTCCTCTTTCAACTTCAGAAGCTCTGGTTGCTGCAAAAAGGAGGAAGCAACCGTTAATTTTCTTGGTTCTTTTTTCAAACTTTCCTTTCCTTTTTTTTGGCAGTTAAGGTTGGGTTTGAATTGAATGTCAGCCGTTTAAGGCAGTATCAGAGATTAATAAAACTTATGATATTCTACGCTTGTAATCTACATTCCTTAAACTTAGTTCCAGTGGACCTGCTCCAATTTCAATAGTATTGCAGCAAATAAATAGAGAAGTTTAAAATCTCACATGCTTGTCAAGTTTAACGTTTCTCTCAGCAATCTTCTTTTCACACTGAGCAATCTCTTTCAGATATTTGGCTTGTTCTTTCTTCTTCTTACTTGCTTCATGCTCGAAACTCTCTAGTTCTTGCATGACTTCTTCACGACTTCTCTTTTCAGCATCAAGGTCCTCAGTTGTCTTCGTGATATCTTTTTCTATGTTGAACAATTGCCATAAGAAATGTTCTCTCTTCAGTGATTTCTACAGGAAAAAAAGTAGGCAGCAAATTCATAACATGAGAAGACCAACAGAAATCCTAAAAGAGAGTACATAAAGAGGAGCAAGCAAAAAGAAACGGAGAAAATGAACATAGAAACACATATCAGAGTAACTTCAAAATTACCAAAGACAAAAGCTTTTCGTTTTGATGCAAGTAACTACACACTAACCGGACACTAGAGGTGAGGTGAGAGATTCCATATTTAATTTTAAACC